CAGTCAGTGCTTCAGAGCAGGGTCTGCTAGATCCAGGTTCTTGCTGTAGAAGCTGAGTGGGTGATTTTGGACCAGTCACAGACTTTCAGCCTAACCTACCTCACAGGGTTGTTGTGCAAGTCACAAGGGGGAGAGGAGAATGATGTAAGCTGCTTTGTTCCCCATTGCAGAGAAAGACTACTTTTCCTCCTGGGAAACATTGTTGCCAATCTAGAGAGGGTGATGTTTGAGGAGGGGTGGGACCTCAGACAGGTACAATGCCACAGACTCCACCCTCCAAACCAGCCATTTTCTCCTGGGGGAACCATTGTTGCCAATGTCCAGGTGAGGGGTAGATATCACTCAAAATTACAACTGCTCTTCAGGTAGCAGAGATCAGTTCCTCTAGAGAAAATGGTGGGCTCTGTGTCATTATACCCTGCTGAGGCCACCACAGCAAATTGACACTGAGTGCCCAAGGCCTTGGCACTCTCCCAAAGCCTCTTTCTAGAGCTCATTGTATTTATTTCCACAACGAGCCTTATTCCTAGTTATTCTATATTACAGTCACTACATTTTCTGAGTTGACTTGTATTGACTTGTGTAACCTGCCCTAAACCCACTCTTGGGGGGGGGGGGGATATAAATCAAACAAAATAAATAAATATATACATAAATATATACATAAAAATAATGAGGGAATATTCAGCTATAGTGTATTCTACTGAGAACAGCTTTGAGAACTTCAGAGCTTGTGGGTCAGAAGAAAATTTCGAACAGATAATGAACACTAGTCCCTCCCATTTTGCAAATTAAATGCAGGAGATTATCCAGGAAAGGGACACTTATCCCTATTTTACCCTGCTCAGTAGAGCTACAATGGCTAGAAGGCTGGTCTTGCTAGAGTCGCTGCTGACATTTATCTTGTTGCTCTGATTATCTGTGCCAAAGCAATAGGACAATTAGAATGGACACCAGGGCTATCAGAGTATCTAATCAAGAACATGCCGCATGGATTATTAATTCCTAACCATGGATTATTCACCATCCTGTCCTCATAAAGTGCAGTGATCACCCTTTCAATACCCTCTTCTGCAAGAAGGAAATGCTCCAGTTCATTAATGCAGAGTATATGACTGTGATCAGTGGTACATAGCATTAGTGTGTTTATTCCCTAAGTAATGAGAAGAAAGAAGTCTACACTTTTGCAGTATGCCCTTCATTCTGCATTTGCATGCATGTACCCCCCAAACATCCCATAAAGTATCTGCAGGATAAATACGGTCTGGGAAAGAACAGTATACAGTCCTAGGAGTCATCACACCTTTACATCCACAATCATTTTTCTTGCACATAGCAGGTATTTCACTTGCACTGAGGTTACAGAGTCACATTTACTTGATGCACCCCAGATCAGATCATGATTCCATACATGTACTATTAACATTGTCCTGCATGGACACATAAGTGTATATCCCAACCCGTGCATATTCACACATAGTTACATATGCACATTTCATGTCCCCGAGGCAGATTTTACCTCCAGCCCTTTGGTCCTCTGTAGTATAATATTATGCTCTTCTGGATCCATATTAAAAACCTGTCATTTAAATAAAATTTATTAGAACAGAATTCAGTTTTAATATCATACCATTTTCTAATCCCATTATCTGGGGGGGAAATTCTGAAAGAAAAAAAATCCCATTATCTGAAGCATTATGAAAGAGTCAGCAACAAATGTTTTGAGTTTAACCCCTTACACCATAAACTCACGTATGTTTGGGTTCTACAGCCGGATTCTTGCAAACCATAAAGGGAATATCTGTCATTACCTCTTTGGTTCCAGTTTCCTTTAAAGGTCTCAGGCTTGCCTATTTGGACAACAGGGCTGTTGCAGGGGGATTGTTTAGATCAGGGTTATTGAACTCATTTGTCACAAGGGCCGGATCTGACATAAATGCAACTTTGTCAGGCCAGGCCATGTGTGTCATAAAATGTAATTCCAGGTAGTAAAGATATAAACTTTATAAAGGGCACAGACAAACACAAGATATTATTTTTTACTTAAAATACACACATGCTTAAAACATTAACACCCTTGCAATGTTTTGTTTATTTAACAGTCTTTGATAACTAACACCTCTTGCTCTGGATTATTGCATTTTATTATTTATTAAATTAGATTTCTTAACCGCCCATCCCCACTGTGTGGGGCTCAAGGTGGTTAAGAACAATTAATTCAATACATTATAAAATCAATTAAAACCATAAAAATCCAATATTAAAAACATTCAGAAACATTTAAACACTGAAAACATTTTAAAACAAGTTGGCAGTGCTAGCATTCAGACATGGGGGGAGGGGGGGTGCCAGGCAGATGTAAGGTTAGCACTGTTTTTATGGGAGACTTACTCAAAAGAAATCTGGAAGCAGACTATACAAACTAACCTACCCCCAGTTACTTCCTTGGCGAAGTGGTATAAAATGAATTGGTGCAGACATGCCCTATAGCCAGCGCCACTAACTCCTTAATTAAACTCAGTTTCAGTGCACTTTCCATCCGTAGCCCTCTGAACAGCCACTCTGCCAGTAAAATGGCACCAGCTGTAGTATTCTTGTTGCCAAATCCCAGGTCCTACCAAGAATGAAACCACCCAACCTACAATGACTCTGCTTCATCCCAGACTGCTGACTTCATCTCTCACTTTTATTCTCTTACAGTTCCTCTGGGACTAAAGGTCCTGGGGGCATTATTTCAAATCATACTAAGTAGTGTTTAGGGCTGCCAAATCCCCCCGGGGGGCGGATTTCTCCCCGCTTTTGAGGCCCGATTTCCACCCCCGCGGAATCGGGCCCCAGGGGAAACCCCACCCCGGCATCCACGTCACCCAGATGTGACGTGATGACGCCGGGCACGCTGGGGGCGGGGCCACAGCCCACGCTCCAGACACCGAACAGGAGCCCCCCGCTGCCAGGTAAAAACTATTTGGCAACCCTAGTAGTGTTCCTTCTAAACTGAGTTAGTGTGAGCTAGCTCACAGTTTCTTAGCCTCCAGCTCACACATTTTTGTCTTAGCTCAGGAACGATGGCTCCTGAACAAACTAATTTATGGAGTACACAAATCGCTTGCTCACATCTTTAATGCCAGTAGCTCACAAAGCAGAATTTTTGCTCACAAGACTCCACACCTTAGAGGGAACATTGCTAACGAGAGCAGTTGTTTAATCAAAAGAAGTTATTTGGGAGGAGATTAGGGAAACAGAGACAGCCATTTCCTCATAGGTGCTATGAAGGAAATAGATAAGGGAAAACATATAACCCAAAGTAAAGAAGCAATTTCAGACTTCGGGTTGGCTAATAAGACAGACGGATTTGGACCTTTGGTCTGACCTTTTGCACATACGCATGCAGCTCTTCTGAATCAGCAACATGGTTAGGTTCTGGTTTGCCCAAGCGATGGAGAATAGTATATAGAACTTCTTCATATAGCAATGTGAGCTGCAACAGAATAGTGGGATCAAATCATAAACAAGTCAATATCTAATGAATTAGCACCCCTGCCTGCTATACTGGGGATTTCCTGAACAGCTGTTTGGTTGCCTTCCATGAAGAAAATTCAGGTGGGTAGCCGTGTTGGTCTGAAGCAACAGAACAGAGTTTGAGTCCAGTGGCCAATAAAGACCAACAAAGTTTTATTCAAAGTGTATGCTTTCATGTGCAAAGTACACTTATTCTTCTTTTGTCTGAAGAAGTGTGCTTTGCACATGGGAGCTTACATTTTGAATAAAATTTTGTTGGTCTTAAAGGTGCCACTGGACTCAAACTTTGTTCAGCTGTTGGTTGGTTCTCATTCACAAGAGTACTTCCTAGAAAATCAGCAAAAGTTTGACTCACTCTTGCAATTCTTATGGTTAGATCACATCCAAGGAGTCCAAACACCATCTAATTCAAACCAATGTCACATGACTCCCAACCAGTATTCCCTCTAAGCTGAATTAGTGTGAGCTAGCTCAGAGTTTTTTAGCCTCCGGCCCACACATTTTTATCATAGCTCGGGAAGGATGGCTCCAGAGCAAACTAATTTATGCAGCATCCAAGTCGCTCGCTCACAACTTTAATGCCGGTAGCTCACAAAGTAGAATTTTTGCTCACAAGACTCCACAGCTTAGAGGGAACATTGCTCCCAACCCCATCAAGCAAACTACACAATTTCACAGTCTGCCTCAGCAAAGAGAGGAACAGGTAATGCTTTAAGAAGTCTGTAAAGAAAACTGCTCCAGATAAACTTGTAAGTAGGGCCGGCTCGCCCACTAGGCGAACTAGGCGCTCGCCTAGGGCGCGCCAGCCCTCAGGGGCGCCAAACTGTGCCCCCTAAAGCCCCCCACCGCTGCCCTAACTGGGCAATTGCCGCCACCGCCATGGCAGCTGGTAAGGAGCAGAGGCAGGAAGCGCTGGGAGGTTGCGCCCTCTGGCCCCCGCGGTAGTTGAGCCCCCCCCGCACAGAACAAAAGTGCAATGTGGTCAGGAAATGGCACTCACTCCAGAAAATAATCAGAAGGGAGTGACCAGATCACCCCATCTGTCCAGCATCAAGATTCAGGGCCAACCCACCAGAGGGCACACGAAACCTGTCTCCTAGAAAGAAGCCCCTTGGAGCTCCCCCATCAATATTGCTACTGATACAATTTACAGCAAGTCACAGTCCAGCCCAGCAGTTTTTTTTAGAGAAAGAGGAAGCAGAGCTGTAGCTGCTAGGCAACCTCAGGATGTGCTTTCTAAGGAGGGGCATGATATGGTTTGGCTTGGTCAGAGAAACAGAACCGTGAACTGATCAGGAGGGATGGTGGGAAGCATCACAGAGTCTGCCTGTCCACACCAGATAGCTCTACGTTTACAACTGTCATGAGCAGTGTTCCCGCTAAGTTGAGTTAGTGTGAGCTAGCTCACAGTTTTTTAGCCTCCGGCTCACACATTTTTGTCTTCGCTCTGGAAGGATGGCTCCAGAGCAAACTAATTTATGCAGTAGCCAAATCGTTCGCTCACAACTTTAATGCCAGTAGCCCACAGAGTAGAATTTTTGCTCACAAGACTCCACAGCTTAGAGGGAGCATCAGTCATGAGGACCCCAAGATGTTCTGTGCCGAGTCAGTCCATGGTTGATTTTATGACAGCTGAAAGCAATTTTGTTTGTCAACTTACAGGAGATGAAGAATGAAACACTCTTGGGCTATTTCTCAATAATAAAAGCTGGACTCGTTAAACATTTATCAACTGTGGAGATCTATAGAAACTCCACAGGTGATGAAACAATCCTTGGCCCCGGTCACACGGCAAAGTTGCCGCGGGAGAGGCATGGATGGTGGGCGGATTATCTGGGAAGTGGAGCGCACCCGTGGCTTACCGCCAACAACGCGAGTTAAAAAACTAGTACCTCCAAGGTACTAGTAAATGTTTGCCATGAGCTGCCTCCAGACGCCTGTGGTGTGATCGCGCCGGCGCACGGCATTCCCCTCTGGTCCCTTGTTTACCTGCCGGCGCCGAGGGAAGGACCCGTGGTGTGCCGCCGGTGTGTCTGATCGCATAATCGCACATCAAACTGTGCCGGGGCAATTAGCCACGTCTCCCCCCCCACATGATATCCAGCCTGTGTGACCGGGGCCCTTATTTAACAGCACATCATGTAGTACTTGGGAGCTGCCCAACAAAACTAATGTCTAAGATGGGGGGAGGGTATTACTATTTTTATACAAAGCATTATTTGCCTATGCAACATGCTTCCCCAAGATGTAGCAGTAGCCACTAATTTTGAAGGGAAACTAGATGAACCCATGAAGAATAGGCCTAGCAATGGCCATTAACCCATGTTAGCTAAATGGAACCTCCCACTGCAGAGGTGGCATGCCTGTGGATACCAGTGCTGGGGTGTCACCAGGAGGGGAGGGTTGTTGTTGCCTTCTGTTTGTGGGATTCCAGGAAGCATCAGGCACCACGGTCACTGCTGGAAACAGGATGCCACACTATATGCCCCTCTGGCCTGATCCGGCAGAACTCATCTTACATTATGTTCACTGCTGGGGAATCAACTAGAGTCTTACCTCTTTCTTAGAAAATTTATGGGATAGGTCCATCTAAAAGAAATTAGAAAAAGCAGATTTTCAGCCAACTCGCTGTACATCAATTGTATTCATCCCTGTGAAGAAATGCATTTTTTTTCTTTGGAGGTTTGAAATGAGCAAAACCTTCACTCTGAGTTTTAAAAGTCCCCCCCCCCCCAGCCAGAGAACAGGCAGGAAAGGAGGAAGTCAGTTCAGTTGCTTTCCAGACTTACCTCAGCCCTTCTTCATACAAATGCTAATAGGTCTAAACAATGGGATGGTCAAGCTCCCCCCTCCAAGCAGGGAAGAGAGATTTGGAGGAATTAAATACTAGAGAGACTTCAAGAAGGAAGAAACTGGAGATCTCCAGGAAAAGCCTCTTTGACCCAGCCTGACCTTGTCAGAGGTTGGGGGAAAGAGGGTGATAAAATTCAGGGGTGCAAGGAGGAGGCTCTCTTTTGTGCTGAGTCCATCAGAGCAGACAGAACGCTTAACTGAGGTCTGGAGGAGGCAGCCATTTAACCATGTGCTGTCCTGGAGAGCTGGAGGAAGTGTCAAGGTAATGGTCATTCTGCAGAGATCTATAACATCCTAAGCTAAGGAGCCTGTCCTATATCGCATCGTATACCCTTGACTGAAGAACTGTACACTCCTTCTATCTGGGATGGTCGTCCTCTTCAACTGAGCCTGTAGCTTTAGGAGAGACACACATGGAGCAGTGAAGGAGGTAGGGGACACCCACCTAGCCAGCCAAATCAGCCGAATCAACCCTGGCGATCAATGGGGTGACAGATGTCACAACAAGATTGCCCTCACATCCAGCCTGTCCTATATTTTTTACATCTGATATGGCATGTATAGAGGGAGGGACAGAGGAATTGTGTTTTACCCATTTCTTTTGAATCCTTTGCTCAGTCTGGTGCTGTGCTCAAGTATGCTTGCAAACGTTTTCTTTTTAATAAATACTTTATAACTTTCAATGCTGGTAGTGGTTCTCTGAACCACATAGACCTCCATCATCTTGGAAACTCTATTTTAAAAGGAACACCAGGGGGGAGGCCAGCAGATGGCAAGTAGCTATTCCTCCAGGGGTACACAAGGCAGTAAACTGTCCCTGTGGTGACCAGGCACTGGGCAGTGGGAGACACAGAGGAAAGGCCTGAGACCCTGGAAGGGAAGCTGGAAGTCCTGAACCTCCCAGCGGGCAATTCCTACAAAGGTCAGGTGGTGACAGGTTACCCGAAAGAGAGAGAAACCTCCTCCAGGTGTTGGGGAAACCTTGGAGGAAAGGGGGGGAATAGGGCCTGCAGGCCTGTTCCACCACAATTCCTATAACAGTCTTAGTGTATAAATAAAGGGCTTTTGATCTTTTCCAGTTGAAAATTTCGCTATTTTTACTTGCCCAACAGAACATACGGATTGAAATAGGATAAAAATTCCAGTCTCCTAGTTTAGCATAGTGACACCACACGGTGTCAGTTCTGGTAAAAATAATATGATACTTTTGCAAAACACATAGTAAAATAAAACAAAGATAACAGATTGGCTCCCACACACTCTCATCTATTGAGCCTCCCAGCTGCTGTGAGCATTGTGCAGATTTATATTACCAAGATTTATGGCAGGCAGTGTTTGGCAGAGCTCACTGTCCAAACCAGCCTTCCATTAGAGGGCTCAGCTTTGAAACAAGAGGCAAACAACCCCAGAAGTGCCTCTGAAGGCAAGCGGAGTGGGAGTTGAGGAGCAGGGATGGCATCTATGTCAAAGGTTATAGCTTGTTCTGAGTTATGGTTTGTGCCAAGGTATCCTAGCCTCCTCTGTTGTGATTGGCTGCATAATAAAGACCTTCTAGTGGTCCTAAAGCCATACAGAGTATCCTATCAAAAAGCTCCGCTTAGGTCCAATCAGACCTCATGAAAGTAGTTACATTGTATATAGTTCACTTTGGAACAGTATATAAATTTGGATGCCGCTCTTTGCAGAGTCAGATTAGAGCTGAGTAATGTTCTGAATAAAAGCCTTGTATTGATAATCATCTCCCACCTTTCAATACTTAAAAGGTTATAGCACTGGAGGTTGGAGCACTGTGGGAAGCCAAGGGGGGGGAGTAGGATAGAAATAAGGATGTATAATAACCAATATTATAACTGATTTAATAATATATCCTAATAAAGGGTTTTTGGAAAAAAAATACTTAAAAGGTTATAGCTTAGACGCTCCTTCCAGCACCTTTATAAAGGTCATCAACCAGTGATGACTTTGCACTATAGTCATCTCATAATGAAAGGACATGTAACAGTTAACATTTATTCATGGTGCATTGAAAGAAAGTGCCATTATTAATCACAAATTATATGCATTAACATCTATTGATGGCAATGTTATGGTATTGATCAAGTGCATTGTGTGGAAATCTGCAGTAACCATAACCATACCAGGAATGGTACATATATTCTAGAAAAATGGGAAGTACGTAGCTTGAACTGTTGTGCTGTACTTTGCACTGGAGGGGGGGGAGTTTTAGACTACAGCTCTTTTCATTTTGGTTGAGGCTGCTCATACTATTAGCAGAGCAAGCTTAATGGGCAAACGTCTGTAGGAAAAAAAGACTCATATGAATGTACTTAATTTGAGGAGTCATCAGCTACAGAAAGCTGGCATTAAGCACTAGCTTATACATGGATTGTTAACAGACTGGACACATTTTTAACTAATAACAGGCATATTGGGATGACTGTAAAACTGGTCTTGAAAATTAACAGGATGTAATACTCCAAATGCGTTTTCCAAGAAGGGGAAAACACATAGCTGACGTGACAATCCACTACCATTGATAGATGTCTGGATTAAAGATAATATTATGTATGCATGTGTATGAAATATGGGGCTTGGTCCCTATCTAGTGGGAATTGTAGTACTTGAAAGACCATGATGTCGGGCTTTGAACCTACAAATAAATGTATCCCTCAGTAGCAGAATCACACTGAACCCCAAAACAAATACAGCTCAGAGGGGACTCATGGAGCCAGTATGTTCTGTAAACATTTTTATGATGTTTGTTGACACTGAATGTTAATAATTATTAAAACTCTGACAGAGGCAAAGCTACCATTACTTCTATTTCTGGTCTTGGAAACAGAACTAGAAGTGTTGTTATCAGCAGCCATGCCACATGCTCTCTGTATTCTTCATGGTGAAAATGTGTATCTTGATATGGCACTTGAAAGCTATCAGTTCTCAGTGTATGAAATTGTATACTTCTAATCTGACATACCACTACTAATCAGTTTTGCACCAAAAATGTTCTCCCCATTCCCAATAAATTAAAGAGACCAGAACAAGAGAAATACGCTGACCAGCAGCAGTGGTCATAAAATTATTCATAAACATAGAATGGCTGCTGGTTGGGCTCCAGGAAAATTATTCCAGGAAACTAGGACTGCCTTCCTGAGGTAAGCAGGAAGGACATTCCAACATCAAGCAAGCTGCCCAGAGAAGCTCCCTTTCTAGAAAGTGATTCCGCTTGTGTGCAAAAATCTCCCCAGTTATACTGAATGTTTGACCAGGGCACCAGAACAGCTATAATCACATAGCAAAGAAGGGACTTGAAGCACAATGCCCAGTACTTTTGAATCCTATGCTTTTGAGTATAACACCAACTTCTTTGAGGCCCTGACTGCCCAAGAATTCCTGTCCTAAAACTCAACTGCTATACAGAAAATCCTTTCTCTGTCCTAGAAGAAAGACCCAGGCCAAGTCCTGTGTCTCCTCAAAGCATTCTCATTTCCCCCAGCACACCCACAAAAAGTAAAGTTAGAGTAGATTTCAGCACACTTTTCTAGGAACCAGTGTAATATAATGGTTAGAATATTGGACTTCGATGTCGGACAGTCACTGCCTTTTAGCCTAACCTACCCCACAAGGTCGGTGAGCAGCTAAAACGCTGCTCTGAGCTCCTCAAAGGAAAGGCAGAATACAAATGTAATAGTTAAACCCAACACCCTCCAAAAGGCATTCAGCATCTCAAAAACTTGGACCACCTCCAAAAGTATCTTAGCAGGTGGAAGCAGGCCACAAAAGGGAGAGGAGTAATGGAGAAAGAAAAACAGAAGTATTAGTTTCTGTTTAGATATCATCCTACATACGTTTCTGCGGTCTTCTCTAGAGATTTCCTCCATTTGGTTCTCACTGTTGGGCTCCATGCTGGGATGGGCCAGGGGGAGCTCAAGCTGAGCGGAGGAGACTGCGGCCGGAGCATACATAGGCTTCAGAATGAAGCAGATCACCCTACCGGCACAGCGTTTCCATCAGCTCACATGCTTAGGAGGAAACCACATTCTTTATCACACTCTGACCATTGTAACAGCAAACGGAAATGTGCAGAGCCCTCCTTTCACAGCAACAGAACTGCAGTTTCTCAACACGTCCTGGAGTCCTGTGTACACCATTGAATAATCCCAAAGCAATTTTCAGTGTTCTGTTGACTGACAATCCCATGTGCTTTCACGTGAGAAGCCAGTACAGTATAGATGGACTCCTCAAACGCGTGTGCTGAGAAAGTTGTGTGGAGATCTTCCCAGCCACAACAAATCCCTCTAAGGTTTGGTGCCAAAGAAAGGCTGAAGTATTAGCAAGCAGTTTCCTCCCTCGCATTTGTTTTGGTGCTATTGCTAATTATCTGACTTCATCTCATCTGACTTCATCCCCAACCTAAAGCTCTGCTCTAACACAAAAAAGCAATCATTCCACAATTTATTTATTTATTTTTGGGGTTTATATCCCACCCTAACCAAGCGGCTCAGGGCGACTAACAGGTGGCCATGCCGGGTTAAAATATAAAATACAATAAAACATCATTACATACAGAATAAAATGGTGCTCTACAATTCTCGAAGACTCCCCAAGATGTGCGATGACCCATATTGGCAGCCAGCGTTATTAATGGTGTGAGCGCCAGGAGTAATGTTTCCCATCTCCGCCAGGCAACATCTACCCCCCTCTCAGTGATAGGGTAGATGATAAGATCGTATCAC